CCCAGGGGCGGGAACCCCTTCCACTAGACCAGGTTGCTCCAAGCCCTGACCAAGATGGCCTTGAACACTGCCAGGGATGGGGCAGCCACAGCTTCTCTGGGCAACCTGTGCCAGTGTCTTAATGCTGCATTTTTTGGGGAGAAAGACTTAGGATTTTCACAACCATTTGGTTGGTGCCAGGCTGCTGAAGATGAAAGCATTCTATCCCTTAAACTATACATGTATTTGTGCTTTCAGTCCTGCTTTGAAATAAGGCTGTTTTCTGCCCATCAAAAGAAATCTGTTAGCGATGGGCAAAACCATTCCCTATGAAACACAAACAAGCTCAATAGTGCGATGTAGGATGTCAAATGTCTGTTATGGACGTATCCATGAACGACTTTAGGGCAAGGTGTGTATCGCTGAATGCATTGTTAGGGTAAGTTTAAAAAAAGAAGCTCTGCTGAGACCCAGTGTCTGACTTGGCTAATTGTTAAAGAACAAATTGTCTCCCTGAAAATGTTTTTCTGTCAAAAGCAGTTGTAAAGAGGCTTAGTGAATGACACAGCAAATTATTTGTGTTGTTCACCAGTGTTGCTTCATCTTTCTTCCCTGGTTTTAGCATAAATATATTCCTGAATTTCAATATGAACTGTGCAATATTCATGACTTCCCGTAGGCTACTGAAAATTCAAACAGCATTAACTCCATTGTTGAAGTACATTATCACAGAACATTTACCTTTCCTACCCAGATATTTATTCTGTCCTTTATTTCTACTTAATACTTTATTTCATAAAGCACGTCAGAGTTTTTTGCTTCCTAGGGTCTTTATTTTCCCACTACCCCCCATACATATGAGTGCAGCTGAATGTGTATTTTCCATCCACTCACTATAAACATGCATTCAAAGTGGGGTTCATCTCACCTAACTTCAGCTTTAAATGTAGTTTAATTTAGTCTTTTTGTCATCAGGAGGGGAGATAAGCACTTCCAGAGGTGATTCATCCCACTTGCTGTAGACATTTGTCCTATGATGGAATATATCTCTGTTCACAAGGTGACTCTCAGCTGTTTTTTTTTTTTTGGCTAATTGACCATCTTAATCTGGAAGCCTAATTTTTATATGGCTGGGATTAAGAAAGATGAATTCTACCCTTCTATTATCCTTTGTTTGTCTTGAGTTTGAGCATTTAAAAAAGTACTTACCGTGCCTATCATTTATCTTCTGACAAGACTCGCAGAGAAGCCTGTTGCTTCCCTGAGGCCAGGGTAAGGGACTTCACTAGAAAACTCACTCATCTGGTATGGCCCTGCAACTACTATCCTTTATTAGTCTTCCAGGTGGGCAATAAGGAAATCTCTTCAAGAAGCCTGAGGGGACTCAAGAAGGACTTCAGGGCCTTGGGGTGACTGATAAAGGGTTTGGGAGCCCAAGTAGTGTTCTCGTCCCTCCTGCCAGTTGGAAACAGTGACAATGGTAACATCAGAAAAATGGCATTAATTAATTCCTGGCTCCATGACTGGTGTCAGTGCTGGAATTTTGGGTTTTTTCGACCATGGGTCAGTTCATACAGCACCAGGCTTGCTGGCAGCAGATGGGGTATGCCTGTCCCAAAGGGGGAAAAGGATCCTAGCCCAGGAGCTGGCAGAGCTTATAGAGAGAGCTTTAAACTAGGTTTAAAGGTGGAAAGGAATAACACCAGGCTCACTAGACATGAGACACACAGGGTAGCAAGCTGCTATTGGAGTCCAGATCCACAGGGCAACTTAAATGCATTTATGCCAATGCCCACAGCATGGGCAACAAAGAGGAGGAGCTGGAAGCCTCTGTTCAGCAAGGAAATCATGACATAATCACCATCACAGAAAAGTGGTGGAATGATTTGTATGATTGGAGTGCTGCAATGGATGCCTACAAGCTCTTCAGAAGGGATAGGCAAGGAATAAGAGGTAGTGGGGTTGTGTTGTATGTCAGGGAGTGCGTTGACTGCCTTGAACTCAATGTTGTGAGTGAGAAGGCTGAACGTTTATGTGTGAAGATCGGGGGAAGGCCATCAAGCTGATATCCTGGTAGGAGTCTGTTACAGACCACCCAGCCAGGATGAAGCTACGGATGAAGTGTTCTTCAAACAACTAGGAAAAGTTTCATGATCACTTGCACTAGGTCTACTGTGGAACTTCAGCCTACCAGGTGTCTTCTGGAAGTACAACACAGTGGAGAAGAAACAATCCAGGAGGTTTTTGGAGGATGTGGAAGATAACTTCCTAACCCAGCTGGTTAGTGAGCCAACTAGGGGAGATGCCTGGCTAGATTAGCTGTTCCCAAACAGAGAAGGACCAGTGGGTGATGTGATGGTTGGAGGCTGTCTTGGGAAAAGTGATCATGAAATGATTGAATTTTCAGTTTGCCGACGACACCAAGCTGTGTGGTTCGGTTGATACGCTGGAGAGAAGGGATGCCATCCAGAGGGACCTTCACATGCTTGTGAGGTGGGCCGATGCCAACCTCATGAAGTTCAACCAAGCCAAGTGCAAGATCCTACATCTGGGTCGAGACAACCCCATGCACAGCTACAGGCTGGGCAGAGAAGAGATTCAAAGCAGCCCTGTGGAGAAGGACTTGGGGGTGGTGACTGATGAGAAGCTTGACATGAGCCTGCTTCAGTGTGCGCTTGCAGCCCTGGAACCATCCGTATCCTGGGCTGCATCAAAAGAAGCGTGACCAGCAGGTCAAAGGAGGTGATCCTGCACCTCTACTCTGCTCTTGTGAGACCCCACTTGGAGTATTGTGTACAGTTCTGGTGTCCTCAACATAAAAAGGACATGGAGCTGTTGGAGCAAGTCCAGAGGAGGGCCACGAGGATAGATAAGAGGACTGGAGCACCTCCCGTATGAAGACAGGCTGAGAAAGTTGGGGCTGTTGAGCCTGGAGAAGAGAAGGCTGCGTGGAGACCTCATAGCAGCCTTCCAGTATCTGAAAGGGGCCTATAAGAATATTGGGGAGGGACTCTACGTTAAGGACTGTAGTGATAGGACAAGTGGTAACGAGTTCGAACTTAAACAGGGGAAGTTTAGGTTAGATATAAGGAAGAAGTTCTTTACTGTGAGGGTGGTGAGGCACTGGAATAGGTTGCCCAAGGAAGTTGTGAATGCTCCAACCCTGGAGGTGTTCAAGGCCAGGCTGGACAGAGCCTTGGGCGATATAGTTTAGTGTGTGGTGTCCCTGCTCATGGCAGGAGGGTTGGAACTAGATGATCTTAAGGTCCTTTCCAACCCTAACTGTTCTATGATTCTATGATTCATAAATCAGGAAGAAGGTCAGCAAAACCTCCACCTTAGGCTTCCAGAGGGCTGACTTTGGCCTGTTTAGGATGCTGGTTGGCAGAATTCCTTGGGAAACATTACTGAACAACAAAGGGGTCCAGGGAGGCTGGACACACTTCAAGAATGAAATCCTCAAGGTACAGGAGCAGGCCGTCCCTATGTGCCAAATATCAAACTGTCGAGGAAGAGACCAGCCTGGCTGAGCAGGGAGATATTGCTGGAACTCAGGAAAAAAAAGAGAATTTATGACTTGTGGAAGAAGGGACTGTCACCTAGTGAAACGTACGGGGATGTTAGGTTATGCAGAGAGTTAGAAAGGCGAAGGCACAGCTGGAACTAAATCTGGCCACTGCCATAAAAGATAATAGAAAGTACTATTTCAAATATATTAGCAATAAAAGGAGGGCCAAGGAGAACCTCCATCCTCTGCTGGATACTAGGGTATCCTAGTGACTGAGGATGAGGAAAAGACTGACGTACTAAATGCTGCCTTTGCCTCAGCTTTAGTGTGTGGTGTCCCTGCTCATGGCAGGAGGGTTGGAACTAGATGATCTTAAGGTCCTTTCCAACCCTAACTGTTCTATGATTCTATGATTCATAAATCAGGAAGAAGGTCAGCAAAACCTCCACCTTAGGCTTCCAGAGGGCTGACTTTGGCCTGTTTAGGATGCTGGTTGGCAGAATTCCTTGGGAAACATTACTGAACAACAAAGGGGTCCAGGGAGGCTGGACACACTTCAAGAATGAAATCCTCAAGGTACAGGAGCAGGCCGTCCCTATGTGCCAAATATCAAACTGTCGAGGAAGAGACCAGCCTGGCTGAGCAGGGAGATATTGCTGGAACTCAGGAAAAAAAAGAGAATTTATGACTTGTGGAAGAAGGGACTGTCACCTAGTGAAACGTACGGGGATGTTAGGTTATGCAGAGAGTTAGAAAGGCGAAGGCACAGCTGGAACTAAATCTGGCCACTGCCATAAAAGATAATAGAAAGTACTATTTCAAATCCCTCCATCCTCTGCTGGATACTAGGGTATCCTAGTGACTGAGGATGAGGAAAAGACTGACGTACTAAATGCTGCCTTTGCCTCAGCCTTGAATAGTCACATCAGCCATCCTCAGGGTACTCAGTTCACTGAGTTGGATGGCAGAGGTGGGGAGCTGGTTGAAGTCCCTATAATTCAGGAAGAAATGGTTAGTGAACTTCTGCTCCAGACATATACAAGCCTATGGGGCCGGATGGGTTCCACCCAAGAGTGCTGAAGGAGCTGGCAGAGGTAATGGTTGGACTTGGTGATCTTGAAGATTTTTCCAGCCCATCTGATTCTGTGATTCTATGATTCTGTCTTTCTCTGTGGAATGGCAGTATCTATCACCTAAAATACAGCTTCCATTGAGTTTCTTTGGCTTAAGATTTTACTCATAGGCCTCAACTGAGGTTTGTTTCTGCTATGTGCTATGCATAAATGCAGTAAGAACAAGGAAGAACTGAAAGACAGGATTGACTAAGTGAAAGAAGATGGAAGAGTTGTATCTTCTCAGAGGCCAGTAAGACACACATTGATTGAGTGACTTGTCCAGAATGATGAAGCAGAAGTGAAAAATTGGTCAAGATTTATTGACTCCCAATCCAGTGTCCCAAGCTCAAGACAAACTTTTTTTTTTAATTCCACATACACCATTATATATTAATTTTATATTTTTTTTTACTTCCTTTTATTCAGTTAATAACCTTTCCCTCCAGTATGCAGTGAAATCATTGGTGAGTGTATGTGAATACTTCATATAGTTTGAACAAGTGAACCATAGAGTGCCATAATTACACAGAAATAAAGATTTTAGGACAGAGACAAGCTGTTGAGTTAACTCTGACTGCACAGATTAATAAAGAGAACTGAGTTGCCAATTATTAATAGACTTTTGAAAATCTCAACTTTAAGGTATTTCATTTACAAGATTACTTTGAAAAACAACCTCTAGCAAAATACTTCAGTTATTCTTAGGAATATTACATTTCTTTCCCCTTTAATTTGGACATGCAGGAACTGTAAATGAAAATGATTTTTTTCTTCAGGGTAAATTACAGGAGCAATCTTAAGCTAACTGGCATTTTTCTAATAGAGCAAATTTTTATTCCCAGAGAGCTCTGAAAAAAATTTCAATTAGATGTTAAATTAGACACCTGAAATTCGCGTATTTCTCTCAACTCCTTAGGCAAAAATAGTAAGATAATAACTTGATCAGCTCAGAGGATTCAGTGTTCTATGGCAAAATGTTTTACTTTTGAAATAGATCAAAATTGCAGTTTGCAGTATGAAAATTTTAGATCACTTGTCTGCATGGAAGGTTGAAGTGAATAGCTTCTTGGGAAAAGAAGTGAAAAAGAGACTCCCTAGTGCATTGAGCACTCATTTGAAGGATGAAGCACACTGATAAATAAGCAGTGTGAACAAACTTTTCTAATGTGCAGTGAGTGGGTAAGAGAAAATTGTTAGCAGTGAAGTTTGGTATGTTCTGCTTTGGCATCTAATTTCAGTAAGTATTTGGGAGTCGAGTTTTTAAGCAACTACTGTTTCTCTGCACCTGCATAAAACATTCCTGGAATGACAAGAAAGTCAACACAAGGGCATAGTGAACGTTTGTATATTTTCCATAAGTAGAGGAAGAGTAGATTTGTTTTTGTAGAATCCTTGTGAAGGCTTATTGTAATTTAAACTCTTCTTAGCTTAGTTACCTATAGATTTGGTAACAAATGTCTGTAGAATCACAGACTGGTTTGGGTTGAAAGAGACCTTAAAATTAGTCCAGTTCCAACCCCCGGCCACGGGCAGGGACCCCTTCCACTAGACCAGGTTGCTCTAAGCCTCGTCCAAGCTGGCCTTGAACACTGCCAGGGATGGGGCAGCCACAGCTTCTCTGGGCAACCTGTGCCAGCGCCTCAGCACCCTCACAGGGAAGAACTTGTGCCTAAGATCTCATCTCAATCCCATGTGTCCTATCCCTGCAGGCCCTTGTCCAAACCCCCTCTTCAGGTTTCTTGTAGGCCCCTTTAGGCACTGGGAGCTGCTCTAAGGTCTCCCCTTAAGGAGCCTTCTCTTCTCTAGGCTGAACAAGCCCAGCTCTCTCAACCTGTCTACGTAGCATCTCTTTGTCTTTCTCTCTAGACTGTCCAGAGAAAGGCCATCTCTATCGAGTTCCCGGCCGCTGGAGGGAAATACCACTACCACTTCTCTGATTTATTAGATGGCATTAACTGTGCCAATGCAGCTTCTTAGAAAATGTTACCAGAAACTGGGCCTTCTAAACTGAGCAGTAAGATGCTGAGTGTTCTCCTGCCTTTCAGCAAAAAAATGTGTATCCTTAACTTCGGATATGTCAGTAGTCATTGGCTTCATTGAGGATTTGTCAGCCATTTATAAAAATAAGCATGTGTTTAAATGTTTTGCTTACTTGGTACTGAAGTACTTAAATCTTTGAAACACATAGTCCTTAAGGAGATTTGCTGTTTTGTGTGGTTGAAATTTCTAGATGTTTTATATTAACTTCTCAAAGGATAGGGAGCATTTCTGTACATTTTGGGCAGCAAGGATGTGTTGCCTATGAAGCTCTGGAATTAATTTTATGTAACTGCTGGCTATAAATCTTTTCTGTCATGGCCCCTTATACAGCCTGCCACAGTTACTTGTTTTCATTATTTTATTTTATAGGCAGATTGTTTATTCTAAGTTATTTCAATAAGAAGCAATACAGAAATGTTTTACACCATGTCAGTAAAGCAAACATTGGCAAATGCAGTACAACTTTTAGGGTCATCATGCAAGAAATCCAAACCAACCAATTGCATGTTTCTGAGATAGTGAAAAGAATTACAGTTTGAAAATTGATTATGTGTCATTTTGCTCATTCCAGGCATTTCCTTTGTTGAAACTGTGTTCTGGGTAGCATGTTACATTAGTATCAGATGCATGTACACCCAAGCTCTATGTAATATTTGCTCAAATTTTAGGGTATGGAATCTGTCTTTGAAATTTAACATAGCTGTATGTAACTGTCCATATCCCCACAGTCCTGCCAGTACAAGTGGCAAGAATGTAATAGATATGTGCAAGGGATGTTTTTAGATTCCTGGCCTTGAGCAAAATTAGGTAATTATATTCATTCAGATACAGTACAGTACAAATGGAGCACATTAAATGGCTTAAATTAGGTCAAATTGAATAATTGAATTTATTCTTTTACTTAAAAAGAGCTTAATCAGCTGAGAGTGCTAGAGTCAGGAAAAATAGTTTAATTAAATATTAATTAGAAGTTTATATTTTGAGTTCCCTTATCTTCACTTGCAGCAATATTATTTATGTATCTCTTTCTCCTCATTACAGCTACTAGGGGATGATGTTCACCCATTCTCAGTTGATGAAGAATTTGATTATGACTGTGCGGCGCTGACCCCGAAGTTCTCTGAAGCTGAGCTCAAGGCCATTATTGACTTGTCTGAAGAGAAGAAAACAGGGACAGATGTCAGTTCAGCATGACCTGAAGACGGGGTTGAAGGCATTCTGTGCAGTGCTGCTAAATAACGTTTTATGGGGTAAATCTGGCACTTCACTGTATCCTTATTTAGTGGGTTTATCTGTACGGCCAGTAAATGACATCCTCAGTATTTTTTCGCTTGTTGTACCAAGGTGCCTTGGAGCCTTTGGTTCCCTATCTCTGTATCTCCTCCTTCCGAGTCCTCATGAGAACATGGACTAGGAAGATGGTGCTTGCTCAGAGTTCTTGTATAACAGCCATTCAGCTACTATTGTGTATGTCTGTAACAATGATTTGCTTAGGGATTCAGGTTGACTAAGGTCTGCATTTGTTCCTAAACCCAAACAGGATTTTTGTATAATAATAATGTTATATAGAAAATATTTATATAGATAATGTTTTTAGGCTACAGTGTTCAGCTATGTTGTTGTTTTCCAGGCAGTACAAGGCATTTGGAAGGATGTATCCAGTGACAACCATAAATTCCCTGTTCTAGAAAAATGCTTGGGCAGGGTGAATCCTGTACTGGTTCAGGTGAAGTAGGCTGGAGTAATTGCTCCATAGGAGCAAAAGAAGCTGGTGGAATTCAGAATAGCCCTATGGCTAATCATGCTTATATTTTGTAAAGAGTCATGCTTATATTTGGTACAGACTCACATCCTGACTAGTGCTAAGCTATTCCTAGAGCTGCCTTTTACCTACTTCTTTCCATAATGCAAATAAGAGCTTTTTGCAGCTGACAGATCAGTCTATAAACTCTTTCACTATGATTATAAGACTTAAATGTACAGAGTTACATGAGAATAAATATGGGAATGTTGTTTTGTTTTGTTTTTCTCTGGTTTTTGAGTTACTTCAGTTCTGCAGAGAAATAAATATTCTTGTTTCCAATAAACTTGTTGAGTTGATCAAAATTGACATGGTGCAACTCCTAGTAATAGGAACATGTGCCTTCCACACAGAGTAAAAAATAATTATTTCATCCATTAAAGGAATTGGCATTGAAAAGCTGTCAGGAGGTGATTTCAAATTCCAGCTTAATGCTTATACTAAGCATCACTTAAATACAGCATACTCTGGAGTTGGGTGAAGGTCAGGTGGTATGGCTGGGAGAGAAGAGTGTGTATCTTTGACACAGGGTAATACGTACTCTTGCTATGAGGTTTTTAGAATTCATTTTTTCCAGCTTACCGTAGAAGCTTCTCTATCAAGGCTTAGTTTAATATAACTGCACTGAAATGTATTATTCATTGTTTTCTGATAAAACTGCATTAGCTAAAGTCTGTTGACCAACATTTTGTCCTTGGCCTATCTCCTTTACTTCTGAAGTGGGTGATTAATGTGATCAATATAGGAAGAGAGCAGATGTACTAGAGATCAAACTACAAGTTGTTTAAAGGCTGTGGATGAAATCCCCGTGCCTGACTGGCTGCTCTATTATCGGCAATTTATAAAAGCAAAGGTGCTTTGATGCTCCAAAGGAAATTTTCTTGATCAGTAATTTTGTAAATGATAATCACACATCACTGAAACCTGAATATAATTTGTTTTGAGGAATGGTATTTACCGTGATTAGGGGGATATATTTAAGAGTGAGATTCATAGAATCATAGAATAACAGACTGGTTTGAGTTGGAAGGGACCTTAAAGTTATCTAGATCCAACTCCCTGCCACGGGCAGGGACACCTTCTACTAGACAAGGGTGCTTCAAGCCCTGTCCAAGCTGGCCTTGAACACTGCCAGGGATGGGGCAGCCACAGCTTCTCTGGGCAACCTGTGCCAGCGCCTCAGCACCCTCACAGGGAAGAGCTTCTGCCTAAGATCTCGTCTCAGTCTCCCCTCTGTCAGGTTAAAGCTACTCCCCCTTGTCCTATCACTACGTGGCCTTGTAAGAAGCCCCTTTCCAGATTTCTTGTTGGCCCCTTTAGATACTGGAAGACTGGTATATGGTGTCCCCGGAATCTTCTCTTCTCCAGAAAAGAAAGTGGTCTCAGGCAAGATGTTTAAGGAGAGTGATAGAAAACTACAAATGTGTTATATAGAAAAACCGGTCTGTATAGGTTCTTGCTTGTAGGAGATAATGGGAAATTAATTTTTAAGATTTAAACTGATAAAGATTCCTGTGCTGTAGTTAAACCAGATTTTGAAGTAATTTGCTATGTAGCAGATTCTGATATTGATTGGGAGATATCTTCCATTTGTTTTTTTTTAATGTGAGTTCATTCAAATTCCATGAATTGTGTTGATGAACCCAACATATTTTGAATGAAGTGCCTGAGATCCAACTGGAATTTTCCAGTGAAACATTCAGCTAAAAATTCCTGAGCAGATCTAATTATTAATTCATCTTCTTCTGGAAGACACAGCTAATGTGTATAAATGTGAGGGATAAGAACTAAGTTCTGGAAGAGTTCCATGAGCAAATCTGGGAGGAAGAAATGGAGAACTACTGCACAAAGATAGCAAGCTCTGCCTTTAAAAGCCTCAACAGAGAAATAAGGGAGACAGCCTCATTAGCATATGTATGTATAGCAAAAATAAAGCAAGACACCTCTGTGTACAGAGTTTGCTATCCTGCAGACAAAGAATCAACCATAAATAAAAGTGAACTTTTGAGGAATAATGAATTCAGCACTTTTTTGTATGTTGTTATAGAAAGGTATGAGACACACAAACTAGGTATCAGTCCTGTTGGAATCTTAGTGCCAGTAGTGTCAATGAGGAACCTTGTCCAGGGATTCATAATGATCTTCAGGCCAAATAAGCTCTGGAATCTGTAAGTACATTTTCTATTCATTTCATTATCAATTTTTCCATGTACATTAGAGATACATCCAGCCATTCAATACCTTCTTACATAGACAGATGATTCTTTTACCAGCTGTTCAGAGTACCTATTATGCTCCGTAAATGTTATTCAGTCTAGTCATTATATGGTTCTGTTTGATATAAAGAAACACTTTGTTACAGAATACCCAACAAAATTGGAACTCTTTAGTGACAGAGGAATGGGGATAATGCACTTATATTTACACCACTCATGAGATAGATTTTTGCTTTTTGTTAAGAGAGATGAGTATCACAGTTGTGGTCAGGCAATGCAGGCTTCATTTTCTGAACATTTTATTGGCCTGCCCCTATGGTTGTTTTTGGACTGTACCTTTCAACTGATTATCCTTCACAGAGGAGGCATATTTCCCTATTCTCCATTACTAGGTTGTCATTTTTAAGAACATACTTTATGTGCATGTTAAATTTTATACATGTCCATGGAGTTAGTTACCTGGAATTGTTTCGGTGTTCATGAGGTGGTTTGGAGTCTGAATAATATATATCTTTTCTTCTTGTAGCTTGTATTCACTTTAAAATATTCAGCATGGGTTGTGAGGGATGTTGTCCTTTTCTATAGGGATGTTGTCCTTTTCTATTTACAGTCTTTTCTAAACATTTATCCTCTTTTCCAAAAGAATTAAAGGCAAAACTCACACATGGAACAGCAAACTTCGAGTGCTACTTGGAATCAACTTAGTTGCTGCTGCAGTAGGGAATATGATTTTATCCCTAACACACTGGCAAGGATTTAGAACTGCAAAATCTTTCACGTTGGGTGAACCCCTTGGAAGTGAAGGCGGGTGATCCATCTCTCTAATCCCTTTGTGTTCATGACTTCATTGATGTCCAAAGTGCAACAGAGATACGCATCCATATCAGTCAGTGAGCTCATCTGTAGGCAGGGTAAGAGAGCTGGGCTTGTTCATCCTGGAGAGAGAAGGCTCTGGGGAGACCTTAGAGCAGCTGCCAGTGCCTAAAGGGATGTACAAGAAAGCTGGAGAGGGGCTTTGAACAAAGGCCTATAGTGATAAGACAAGGGGGAATGGTCTAGTGGAAGGTGTTACCAGACTGTTTCTTTATGCAGTCTTGACGGATTCTGAGCTGCGAGGAGGAACTCCTGCTTTATGGAAAGTGTAGTGTTCCTTCCAGTGGGGTAGGAACCTGAATGGTTGTTTCCTTGGCTGGCTGTGGTGCAAGCTTAGGTATTATTAATGCTCAGAGTTACTCCTTGTGGGCGTAAAAGGAAGAGTAATTATTTGCTGAGATAATAGTTGTGACAGAGTAAGATAAAAATGGAAGAAATGAAGAGATGCAGACAAATCTGACTCAGACATTGTTCTAAATATATTTCTATTAATGCACAAAGCTATCATTACATACAATCGTATACACACTGTGCCAATGAACAAAAATAATTTTAGCATGGAGAGTACTCACCAGATAATTCAGAACCTCTTGAAGAAGACAGCATGGAAACAAATCCCTGCTCTTATGGAGGAGACCCTTTGATCCTCTGGCCTTGATTTTCTGCTGCTATAAACTGGCAGAACTCCACTGAGGCCATTTGTATTCATACAGAGCAGATGGGACCCTAGTATTTACAGTCTTAGCTGAAAGAATATGGAGCCAAATCAATTCCTGATTTAATGTTACTGAATATATAGCTATGTATATGACCTATTATAATGATGGGAAAATATTTAAATGCATAACCAATGCAATCATGAAATGTTAAAAACATATCTTGAAATGTAAAAAACATATCTTTAACAATTCAGTTGCTAATTTTACTCAGGTAATTTTGGAGTTTCTGTAGTGGTGTGTGCTTAGAACATTGCTTTTTGCTTGATATAAAAAATATCAAGCTTGATATTGCTTTTTGTGATATAAAAAATATCACATATATTTTCAAATCCTGTTCAAATCATGAAACTTGATTACATACATGACTACTAAAGATTCTGACCTGCTTTAAGGTTTGTTTGGTTTGGTTTGGTTTTTTGTTTTTTCTTTTCTCCCTCTGCATCTTGGCAAGGATTGGAAGTGGACTTTGCTTTGTCTTGTAATTAATTTAGAAAGGTCTGATATCCTTTGTAAAAAGATATACTTTCTTATAAAGGCAGACTCTCTTGTTTAGTGATGCAGAAATAAGAAATAAGGGCCGACAAG